ACCGAGCGCTTCTCCCACCTGCGCTGGGGCCGCCTCCGAGCTCCGCCGCCGCCTCACCGCGCTCCGGCCGCTGCCGCCGCTCCCGGGGCTCCAGAGTCGCTCCGCCGACCGCAGCAGCGTCAAACGGGGAAATGCGCAGCTGATCGTGCCCCGGTCTCTTTAAGGAGCCTCGCCCTGACCAATCAGCGAGAGAGAGCGAGGAGGGGGGGGGAGAAATCAGACAATGGGAGCGCGGATCGCTCCCGCACACAGCACCGAACCGCTCCTCGGTCACGCCACCGTCCCAAACTGGGATTCTTTTCAATATCCCCTGGGGCGGTGCCCGGCTCGGGATGGAGGCGGAGGAAGCGCCGGGGCGGAGTCCCGAGTGCAGCAGAGACTCCTCCCGCAGCCCCGCTGGAGCCCAAGGCCGGAGCAGGACAAGGATTCCTCCCCTGAGTGAGAGGCAGTGACAGGGCCCGAGTGTGACCCCCAAACCCTGCGGCACCGGGGGCGGGGGAGGGAGGGAATGGGGGATGAAGGGAACAGTGGGAAGGAGGGAAGGGTAGGGTGGAGGTGTTTCCTGAGGATTTGGTTCACTTCTCATTCTCCTTCTACAATCTGTTAATAAGGGAGACACGAGGGATATTGGGAGGCTTCACAACCATTTAATAAAAAAGGGGGACAGCCAGGCACAGGGCCACAGCCAGGGCACAGCCTGTGACAGCACAACTGCCCAGGGCCGGGGGTGTCGGTGCCAGCAGAGCACGAGGCCCCTTCCAGAGCCCTGGGAACAGCCCCAGCCCTGCCAGCCCTGTGCTCTGAGTGACACCGTCCCCTCCCTGCAGGGCTGACCCTGCACTCACCGTGAAATCTTCCGAGGTTTCTTCTCTGTGTGAGTCCCGCTGCTGATCCATTCTGGGGTTTCTCTCCAATCCCATCCCTGGGGCAGGGCTCACTCTGTCCGAGCAGAGAAGCAGCTTCTCCCTGCCTGTGCCCAGCAGGATCCTGAACCTGAGGCAGCTCTGTTCCCCTGGCTGCTGATCCATCCTGGGCATCCACAGCATCCTCGGCAATCTCAACAACGGCTTCATCCTTCCTTGGCCTCATTCCAGTCTCACCAATGGAATCATCTGGCACCCGAGGCAGCTCTGCGTGCTCGATTCTGGATCCGTAGGGATCCAGGGGCTCCTCTGCGCTCTCACAGTACTGGTTGTATCAAGTGTCCCACCCTTCATCTGTGTCAGCCGTTGAGCTCGGTTGCACACTTGATCAAAAGGATCCTCCACCCGAATCGAGTCCCCAGCAGCCTCGACATCCCTGGGGCAGAATCATCTCTCCAGATCTGGAATTCCTTCTCACTTAGACGGACCTTGAACCGGAGGCATCAGCACTGATGGCACAGGAACACCGAGCCGAGCTCCCAGTGCAGTTTCACAGACCGAGGAGCGCACGATGAGAGGCCACGGCCGGTCCCGGCTCCTCGGGGACGCTGCAGCAGCACCTGCAGGAAACAAAAGCACTCTCAGAGAGCTGCGGGCGGGGACAGGCGGGGACAGCGCCCGGGAGCTGCCGAATGCGGGCACGGGGAAGCTGCGGATCGGGCTCAGCCTCCCGAGCGGGAAGGAGCGGCAGCTCTGAGGGGGCTCAGGATTGTCCCCGGCATCCCCTGCTCTGGTGGGTCGGGACCCGGGCACAGCGAGCGCTGGCACCGCCCTTAGTGTCGCTGACTGGGAACAGCAGGTGACTCCTCGAAGGGAAAGTAGAAACTTGGCTCTGAGTCCCCGGGGAAGCCGCCAGTAGGAGATTTCTCTCCACCTCCACTGAGTGCGGCTGTTTCTGCTTCTGCGTGCTGTGGTTTGGCAGGGGCGTTCCAGTTCAAACTATCCCTCCCCAGCCCGGTCCCGGACTCCTCCCCCCGCC